TGCATACACTGGTCTCTTAGCATCGCATATTATAGCCTCGCGTACCCAATAATGTCAGTATATTTTTAATTACGGAACATTTAGCATGTTTAACATGAGTTTTTATCTTCATAGTTGGAACATATTTATAAATATGTAAGAAAATATAATCACCGTTTTTTATTGCTTATTATTAGCTTTTCTTCGTCCATCGAGCGCTGTGCGAGGCTCTAGTTCCAAGTTCTCGTGGTTCCGCGTACGGTGCTTCGTTATGGCCGTCTTAATCATTTTTTTTTGTGTATATCAATTACCTGTTACTTTAAACTAATGTTCCAGGCTTCACTGTTCCGCAGTTTCGTACTCGCATTTCATTATTTAGTTTTCTATGCACTAGACTGTATCCATTGTATCGTATTTCATTCCGTTATAGATTTACTTTAAGTATATTGTTATTATTATATGATTCACTCTTTTAACATATAATTTTTATGACATTTCTTCGACTAGTGAACCAGACATGCTACACTAAAGTAAACTAATTTCCTCGGACCAGATTATTATGGTTGTATACAGGGTGTATCACGAAGAGGGCCCAGTAGGATTATCTCAAAAAGTAGTCAGAATTGAAATCTGAAAATTTGTATACAGGGGTTTATCAAAAAAAATCTATTCAATGAAAATAGTGTCAACTTCCTCGCACTTCTGGTTATACCGGAAGTCATTGTCAGCTCTGTTATTTCAAACGGAACACTATGTATATTTATGCATTTTTTAATTCTACGGCAAATTCTAGACTATTTTCATATAAGTACTATGGGCCAAAATGTGACAGTTTTCAAGTTATTATTAATTTTCGAAAAAATTGAGGGATGTAAATGATTTTTGAAAATAGAATAACCCCAACATTTAGCTTTATTTATTAATGAAATTTGGCATGGATAATTTAAAAGCAGTGGAATTCATCCAGTTTATGTCAAATTTGCAAATTTTCATACAGAGTTATTAATGTCATTAATGGATATACTCTAATCTATACCCAAAGTTAACAGTTCTTGTGTAAATTGGAAATTATTGATTTCAACACAAAAAAATCTACGAGTATAGTGGGTTTATTTAAAGCATCGCCCTTTTTAATTTAATATACTGAATTTTTGTTTTTGATGAAGGTATAACGATAATAAAAATTACAGTTCATTAATAAGACACCGTTTATTATTCGATTCTTAGTACATCAAATCCACCGTATGTATTTCTGTGTTGAAATAATTTCCAATTTACACAAGAACTGTTAACTTTGGGTATAGGGAACTATAGTATTATTTTAAAGTAAATTCAATCGTGCATCCATTAATGTAATAATATACAGGGTGTACCATTTGAAATATATTAGTAAATTCAACTTCAACGTCAAAATATTGGTCATACGTTCTTAAACAGTCTGTATAAATTTTTGCGAATTTGACATAAACTGGTTGAATCCCATTGCTTTTAAATGATCCGTGCCAAATTTCATTAATAAATAAAGCTAAATGTTGGAGTTATTCTGTTTTCAAAAATTACTTGCATCCCTTAATTTTTTACGAAAATTGATAAGTTGAAAACTCTCACATTTTGGCCTATAGTACCTTATATGAAATTAGTCTAAATTTTACCGAAGAATTAAAAAATACTAAAATATACAGAGTGTTGCATTTGAAATAACAGAGTTGATTATGACTTTCGGTATAACCGAGTTCATTGAATAGATTTTTTTGATACACCCCTGTATACAAATTTTCAGATTTCAATTTTGACTAAATTTTGAGATACCCCCACTGGGCCCTCTTTGTGATACACCCTGTATATACAATCAATCAGTTGATAATTGTCACTTATAATTAATAAACCCAGTTAATAACTGAAATAATTTAATGCAATCTGAAATATAAGTGATGTTTTCTTTGTCAACAATTCACAATATCCTTCGAGCATTACAAGGCGAAGAAAGAGATAAGCTGCTATGAAGGTATAAACTATCTCTCTCACTGGATGTGATTGGCTCTTCCTGCCACGTGGGATCGCCACGCGCGGTAAAAGAGAGGTAGCAAGTACATTTATAGTAGTTATCTCTCGCGCAGTTTTCTCTGTCTTCACCTTGTAACGCACCCGGCCACTTTATTAGTTAGTTATTAGAATTTAATATCCTAATATTTTTTTTCGAAGTTTTGAATTGATATTAATTTGTTTCACACAAAATATTTACCTAATTAATTGGTAGTATTTACAATAATTTAATTAATTAATACAGAACATGTATTTCTCCCAAACTGGTTGTCTATTTTTCGCCAACAATTACTTTTTTGCATACATTTTCGAAAAAGTAATTACCTACAAACTTTTTATGGACTGAATAAGTAGAATACGTAATATTTTTATGATTGACATACGTTTATATGTGAAGCAACTTTTTTGTTAGCAAAAAAATGGGGCTACTCTAAGATAATGCTATTAATTTTGGAATATTTCTGACGACAAAAAAAAATACAAGTGAGAACTACTAAATCGCATTTTGTTTGAATAGCGTGATGGAAAAAACATATTTCCAATGTCATCATATTCACAAACAATTCACATCGAAGTTTTCATAGAAATTTGTCGGTATCACAAAGTAACTCCAATGCTAAGTGCTAAATTATGACATTACTTTTTTAATATAAGTACGTTATTTTATAAATGTATGAAAATGCAATAAAAACAGAATTAGGACTATCAGGCTTTCCCTTTATTTTTATTTAAGTTTTGTTGTGTCCGTTATTGTCCTGAACAGGATTTTCTTTTGTAATTGTAAATTTGTAATCCCATATTTTATAATAAATTTTGCTTGTCCTTAAACTCTCAAATTTGTTACTACTTTCTTGTTTTTATATACAGTGTTTAAAATTTGCTGAAAAATTTTAAAGTGACCCCCAAGCAAAGTACCTTAGTTTTACGAAATATCGAAAAGTGCCATTAAAAGATATTGTTAGTAATTCCAGGAAGATTGTGAATATAAATTTTCAGTTGTCTCGTATAGTCTTTCCGATCTCAATTGAAGAACCAAGAGATGGTAGTATGTACCAGGTTCGGTCGCTGACGCTGCAACTCGGCATTGAAACATCTGAAAAATTTGTTCCCATATTCATTTAGCCATACCCATATACTGGTCTAGTTGAAGAATGAACGCGCGCGCAAACGCGGCACAAACACAGCCACACTGAGCAACCTGGCCACAAATTTAGTTGTCAACAAATGGCCTAGCAGTGCAGTGCAGTAATGTGGAATTTGGTGTGATTCAGTGAAGGTAATTTTAATTATTATAGGCACCTTCTATTAGTAATTCATATTGCAATTGCGAAAGGGAGAAATAAGAGGGATATCTGGTTTACTAATATTATTACAACATGGCATTTTGGAGAACTTTTCAAACGATAAAAAACGAAATTTACCATCAATATAATAAAATTGTTTTCTGGAAATAAATAATTAAAATATGTTGTTGGTCCAATGAACATATAACGGGAATTTTTTACACATTATATACAAATCATTATAATTTTTTACCTTTAGCAGAAAACTTTTTAGGGACGCCTATGAAACTAATTAAATTTTATTACTAGGCGTTTTTATATACAGGCTGTTACAACTTCGCTTCTCACTACAGGGATCTCGAAAATGGTAAGAGATACAAACTGGCTTAAATGGGGGCAAAGTCGCGTAATCAGGAGACCAACATTATTCCTCTAAAAAATCAAAGCTAACATGATTAGTTTTCGAAATATTTGAAAAAAAACGAAAATTTGGAAATCCGTGTTTGTTTCATTTCAGCCTTGTTTGAGGTGACATTGAAAAAAGAAGAACACTTTCTCATGGCCACTTTTTGCCCTCTATCGAATGGCATAATCAATTTTTATATGTAACGTTTCGTCTCACCAGGACCATCATCAACTTCATTTTTTTAAATACGACCCTGGAAATTTTATTACATTTTTTGCAAGCCTTCATGACCCCCAATACTATACTGCCTCAGCCCGAACCAGATTCAGACGTTTTGTCTCGAAAAATTCATCTTCAATGTATTCGTTCCAAATACAGTATTGGGGGTCATGAAGGCTTGCAAAAAATGTAATAAAATTTCCAGGGCCGTATTTAAAAAAAATGAAGTTGATGATGGTCCTGGAGAGACGAAACGTTACATATAAAAATTGATTATGCCATTCGATAGAGGATAAAAAGTGGCCATGAGAAAGTGTTCTTCTCTTTTCAATATCACCTCAAACAAGGCTGAAATTAAACAAAAACGGATTTCCAAAATTTCGGTTATTTTCAAATATTTCGAAAACTAATCATGTTAGCCTTGATTTTTTAGAGGCATAATGTTGGTCCCCTGATTACGCAACTTTGCCCCCATATAAGCTACTTCGTACCTCTTACCGTTTCCGAGATCCTTTTAGTGAGAAGCGAATTTGTAACAGCCTGTATGTTCCACTGACTTCGGAAAGACTATAAAAAAGTTATCTTATTTCATATCACTTAGATAACTTAGGTAGAAATGCTATTGTTTTCTTGATATTTCTTACAGGGTGTTGCGATTTTCGCTAAGGTAATGTACCAAGTAGTAGGTATTTTAGAATTCAGAATAACTCATCCATTATGTGGCAATAAAACAACAAAATGCGGACAAATTTTTTATCTAGATTCAATGGATTTTAAATAATTATCAGTTGGTAATCAGTTTCTGAGTTAATTAAGGGAATCATAGGTGTTTCAAAGCCATCTAGCTGATATGGTATGAGGTTATATTTTTTTTTCAAAATAATTGAACATTTACGTACGACTTTCTTATATTTCCTAACAATATCTCTTAACGACGCTCTATATTTAAAAAAAAATGGGTATTTTAATCACAGAAATCGAAAGAATCGAAAGAAAATCTAAATCGAAAAATTTATCACCCTGTATATAAAATCAGGAAAGTTGCAATATTTTTAAGAGTTGAGCAGAAACAGAAATTTTTATAATGAACTACATTTTTTCATAATTTACAAAAAAAGTTTTTCCTGTTCAAGACATAATATTGAATAATATGTATTACCGATCATAAAACATCATATAAATAATTATAAATAAAGTTGCTCCATTTTACGGTATTATTTCCCATCAAACTCGAAATGAGATAACACTCAGCCCCTGTATATTCATACATTCAGGCAACTTTAAGAAGTTACATACATTCAGGCAACTTCAAGAAATTCTTTAACTCAAATTTGATTTTTTGTTGTCTGTGTAAAAGCCAAGTCGGTTTGCTTTTTCCTTTTTCTTTTCGTAGCCACCATGTGCAATATCAATTCCATTCGCACCCTCTATATCGTAAAACTCGACCCAGACCACTACTAGCATAAATAAATTGTACAAAGGTTCCACATTAAATTAATAAAATCTACTATGTCCAAAAAATATACCACAGATAGAAGTAAAGTACCGCGAAACGCGCTACTATTCGATGGGTTGGGCCCACGGGTGATCGATGTGGCCGTACTGGATGGCAGTGAGGTGTTCTTTGATCTTCTTGTGGATGGGAAAACTGTGCTGGGTAGTGGGTATTTCTATCACATCGCCTAGGTATTCTATCGAGGACACTGGACTGATGACGCCAGCAGTTCCCGATCCGAATATCTCCAAAAGCTGAAAAAAGACATCGTGTAAAAAAGATACAGGCTTACAGGCACAACTATGAAGTACACGATATTTCAAGGTTAATAAAGTTCTACAAAGAAATATAGGCAACGTTTCGCTTTCGAGGTAAAGAATGTTGAAATATGAAAAAAGTGTATGTAAATTTGAGCTAATGATATATAATTACACAGCCCCACAAACTGTCGCAACTAAATTCTAACTGCCATTTGCAGGAATAACACTACGGCCCTTTAGTTGAGATTTGGGAACAAAGAGGTGTCAAAAAAATAAGCTCTATTTAATGCAAAAGAGCAAATTTCCGAGCGGCCTTTGTCTGACCCTGGGACAATTTGTTTATAAGGCTGTTTTGCACATCGTATTTTGTTAATTGTAAAGAGCTTGGTACTTAATTTCAACTTTTTGAAATTTTTCTTTTTCGATACGCTTCTTGGGATCAATTAGAACCTATATCTACGATATTAACTTCTAAAATTAACGTTGAACAATAAGTCGCAAAAAAACAAATGAAATTAATTAACAAATTCTTGGAGCAACAATTTTACGGTCAATCGAATCAGCCTTTGGCACATATGTTGGTCTTTAGATTGCCCGTCTTTTCCATGTATGTATTTCATCAACATCCATCGCTTTTTGCAATAGTAATGTGCACTTTTCGAAAACTGATTTTTCCCCGTTCGACCTTTATTTTGCGGTTAACAAATTGGTGATACTTTAGATACCTTAAATTATAGATAATTTAATTCCTTGCAACACAAAATAACTAATTTTCCAACAGGTCGTCTAGATCATTTACAACAAACAAGTGGTAAAACATGTAATTTTGCAACATACTTATTTGCAATTTGCCAACTTAGCGTCACTTTTTTGGAGTTACTTTTAAAAAATAGTGCATATAAACATGGTTCCTAAATTAATCATAAGGAAGCTACGGTCGTTTAAAGATAATAGTCGCTGATATAATCGATTTTTGTTTTATATCTGTAGATTCACTTAATGATATTACAATCTCAAGAAGTGATTGTATAAAAGATTTAGGCATCTTCTTTGACTCTAATCTTACCTTTGTTACACAAATTAATCATTTAGTTAGTAATGCCAAAAGGACTTTAGGTTTTATATTAAGGAACTGCAAAGATTTTAGAAATATTAGTACCTTAAAAATTTTGTATTATACCTTGATTAGGAGTAAGCTTGAGTACGTATCAATTATGTGGTTCCCAATTTATCAGTGTCACATCGATAGTATAGAATCTGTTCAGAGACGGTTTTTAAAATACATTTATTTTAAGGAAGATGGCATCTATCCCGCCAGGTGTATTGCTAATCAAATATTATTGGACAGATTTGATACTGTTTCTCTTAATCGGCGACGGATATGTTCAATTATATAATTTTTGTATAATTTAATACATAATAACGTAAATTGTAGTAGTCTCCTTAGTAAGATACAATTTTTAGTACCGCGTGCTGGTTCAAGATATAACCAAACTTTTTACTGTGATAGGCCTAGAACTAATATTTTACTTAAAGCACCTGTTTATAATGCATGTTATCATTTTAATAAAATCTGTAATTACAGTGATATTAATTTTTCATCACTGAATACAATAAAACACGTTGTTTACAACGAGTAATTCTAGATATACCTAATCCATGTAAGATGATTAAGTCAATGAAGACAGATATCATGTTGCTCTTGATTTATAAATTAAAACTCGCATTAAACATACTAATAATTCGACATTTTCATGTAATAGTAATTACATTCTATAATTTTCAGCGCGCGAATTTTCCTTCACTTTATGAAAATCTTAGTGATATCGCCTCTTACAAATTATTCAGAAATCGATGATGCATGTAAATTTATGTATGATCGTATAGGTACATGATCTGATGGATGTTTGTGTTCCCAAAACTAAACTCAGTAATAGCAAGTATCCTAAATGGTATACTCGATCCATTAATAAATATATAAAAAAGAAATCCAAGTTATTGCGTCAATTTAAACTATCAGGTGATATTAGATTTCATAATTATTTTAGAGACCTTAGATGCAAAATAAAGAGAGACGTTGGTAGGTCATATAGGGAATGCTTAAAAACAATTGAAGATAATATTAAAAATAACCCCAATAAATTTTGGGTATATACAGGGTGTTAATGAATAGGTGTTACAAACGGATATGCTATGTAAAAAATCCAAAAATAAGTGGTTTACTTAATAAATATGTGTCCTAAAGCGGCTCATTTTCGAGATACAGAGCGTTGAAATTTAAAAATAATAAACTATTTTTTCCTGTAGCTCCGGAATTTAATATTTCTTTATCAAACTCAACAGACAGATTTACTAACTTAAAGGATGCATAAATATGGCAGAAACCATTTATTGGCTTCTTCTAGTGGCGTGCGATAGGTGTCGTTTCACCTTTTATCCCCCCTAAATTGTGCGGCACTGTACAAATATTAGTTTTTCGTATGTTTTTGAATTTGCTAGTATTTTTTACGTAAATAATGTATACTTGTTAGACTTCCATAAAATGAGTATTATCAAGTTATTAACATTTACATTACTGAGGTCACCTTATGCTCCAAAAACTATGTTTTTCTATGCTATGCTAGTTTTCGAGATACAAAAAGTTAAAGTTGTTTAAAAGGTATTTTTATTTTGCACAAAAAAATTACAGTAAATGCTCAAAATTACGGCCACCAGTAGCGATACAAGCGTTAATTCTTCGAAGCATATTTGTGTACATTCGGTCAAAAGTGCCAGGCGTCGTTTCGATCTCCTGCGCTGCAGCTAGAATGCGTGCTACCAAATCTTCTTCTGACTCAACAGGAGTTTCATAAACTAGACTCTTCATATGGCCCCACAAATAAAAGTCAAGCGGGGTCATGTCTGGGGAACGTGGTGGCCACGCCATAGGTAATCCACGGCCAATCCATCTTACACCGAATTGTTGATTAAGGTGATCTCGGACAACAAGCGAAAAGTGCGCTGGCGCACCATCATGCTGCAGCCACATTTCCTGTCGAATGTTTAATGGCACATTTTCTAATAATTCTGGAAGTACTTGTTGTAGGAACGTTAAATAAATAGGACCTGTAAGACGATTTGGAAGAAGGTGCGGACCAATTAAGCGCCCGTCAATTATACCAGCCCAGACATTGACGCCAAACTTCTGCTGAAATCTAGTGGAGCGAATGGTGTGAGGGTTTTCTTCAGCCCAGACATGGTTGTTGCGAGAATTAAAGATCCCTTCTCGTGTGAAGGATGCTTCGTCTGTAAAAAGCACAAACCGCGGAAAATTTGCTTGCAACTGACACTGTTGAAGAAACCAATGGCAAAAGTTTAGTCGTGGCTGAAAGTCGGCGGGAGTTAAAGCTTGAACCTTTTGTATATGATAAGCGTGAAGCTGTTGCTCGCGTAAAACTTGCCAAACGCTTACATGGTTTACATGCATATTCTGAGCAATACTTCGACTGCTGGTGGATTGGTTTTCTTCTATCCTATTAAGAACTTCTTCTTCGAACCTTATCGTTCTGCGGTTTCTCCTTACCCCGCAGTTAACCCTATTTGTTGTAAAAGTTCCTGTTTCCTGCAACCTGCGAAACACTCTTCCAAATATCTTATGTGAAGGGGTTGGACGATTTGGAAATCGGATTGAGTATAACCGACGGGCAGCCCTGCCATTACAACGCGCTTGACCGTACATTAATATCATGTTTGCATAATCAGCAGAAGTATATTCATTCATGATGTATGAATGTTTTAAACGAATGGATAAAGATATCTATCTAATAATTAAAACTTACAAACTAAACTTTACACTAAAATAACAATAATAATTAAAAACTGCCTCGTTTCACAACCGAAAATAATTTGACATTAAAATACATAGTAATGTCACCGGCAAATGTTTTTTTTTCCAACATTTTAAACTTGCTTGAGGAATACGGAAACTTTGAATGTTTTGTATCTCAAAAGGAAAAAGCGACATATGTATGCATTTACTAAACAATTTCGTGAAAAATTTACTCAACATGTCACTTTTTAAAACTTTTTAGTTTTTGGAGCATAAGGTGACCTCAGTAATGTAAATGTTAATAACTTGATTATTACTCATTTTATGGAAGTCTAACAAGTATACATTATTTACGTAAAAAATACTAGCAAATTCAAAAACATACGAAAAACTAATATTTGTACAGTGCCGCACAATTTAGGGGGGATAAAAGGTGAAACGACACCTATCGCACGCCACTAGAAGAAGCCAATAAATGGTTTCTGCCATATTTATGCATCCTTTAAGCTAGTAAATCTGTCTGTTGAGTTTGATAAAGAAATATTGACTAATACCGGAGCTACAGGAAAAAATAGTTTATTATTTTTAAATTTCAACGTCCTGTATCTCGAAAATGAGCCGCTTTAGGACATATGTTTATTAAGTAAACTGCACTTATTTTTGGATTTTTTACATACCATATCCGTTTGTAACACCTATTCGTTAACACCCTGTATATCCAGTAATAGGAATGATTCTACCACATCCAGTAAGATGAGTTATAACAATCAGACATTAACTGACGGCCAAATGATAGTGAATGCTTATGCGTCGTATTTTCAATCTTCCTATGTAATGTCTCAAACTCACAACATACAAGTTAATGTGCCTAACATTAAGTCGAACAACGTGCTTATCATGGAAAGCATTACAGAGTATGATGTCAAACGAGGTTTGCGCAAACTGAAGCCAAAAATGCCCATGAGACCGGATGAAATCCCTGCGTTTGTGATAAAGGACTGTGGTAGCACCTTTATTCGCCCTCTCACTATCGTATTTAATTTAATATTGAAATCCAGGAAGTTTCCTAATATATGGAAAGTTTCACGTTTATGCTTTATTTTTAAGAATGGTGACAGGAGTGATATAACTAATTATCGACCCAATGCACTAATCTGTGGTTTCTGTAAGGTCTTTGAGAATATTTTGTATCATTATGTCTATAACCATGTCAAAAATATTGTAACCATAAATCATGGTTTTATGAACGGGAATCTACTACAACGAATCTCGTGTGTGTTTCTCAATATGTCGCGGATGTTCTGGACAATCGGGGGCAGATTGAGATTATATACACATATTTCTCGAAGCCCTTCGATAGACTGGATCACAAAATTTTGATTGAAAGACTGGGTGGTTACGGATTGTCTGAGAATTTAGTTGCTTTGTTTGTGTCATACCTGGCTGATAGAACGCAATATGTACAACAACGGGGGTTCAAATCACAAGTAATAAGAGTACTGTCAGGAGTACCTCTGGGTTCAGTCCTGGGACCTCTACTGTTCAACATCTTCTTGGATGACATAATAAATTCCATTGATGTCAATTTTTTAATGTACGCAGATGATATAAAGTTGTATACGAGGATTGAGTCCTCTAAGAACTGTGAACGGATACAAAATGCTTTAAATCTAGTGTATAGCTAATAATAATCTGCCACTGAATTCTAAAAAATGTAATGTCATTTAGTAGACAAATGCACTCATTGAGCTTTGGTTACCACAGTAATGATGTATATTTAGATCGGCCTACCATCATCAAAGATTTAGGGATTGTATTTGATTGTAAGCTTTCGTTTGTTGAACATATTGATAGGATTTTGAAGACCTCATACAAAAATTTAGGGTTCGTTATTCGAAATGGTAAAGATTTCTTGGTCTAGATTGAAATATGCATGTATTGTGTGGAATCCGCTATATACAGTTCACATAAATAAATTGGAGAACATACAAAGGAAGTTTTAATGTACTTATTTTATAAAGAAAATGACCGTATTACCCCCCTCCCATTAATAATTCCATCAAGCCACTAGCGAAGATACAGGAAGTTATTATTACTAATGGTAAGAGTTCCAGGAACGCCACTGAATAATTTAGAAATTAGATCACTGCTTTTATATAACTCCTGTTGGCGTTTCTAATAAAAAATATCTCTTTATTGTAAAAACGGACTTTAATTGTAAGTTCAATTACTATTATCAAAGCACTTCAATAAATTCAAGATAACTCTACAAAGAATCCAGTTAACCGATTTGAGCAAACTTTACTGTTGCTTAGTTTCTCCTCATGAAGTATGCAGTAATTATGATCCTATTAGGTTAAATCATACAGGGCGTTCATTTTACTACAACCTTTTGTGAATATTCATCAGTAACTTTTTGTACGTTTAAATTTTTACACGCAACAACTATTTATCAGAAATAGGACATTCTACACTAAAAATGTATGCTTATCAAAAGTCGAAATTATGCTCGATTATGAAGATATTACAGAAAATATTTATACCCCGTATTTTTTTGAAATAACTATGTATTCATAATAAACATAATAAATAACATAAATAATAACATAATAAACTGAAAGGTGGCAGTAATAAAAAGTCTACTAATTTATAATAAATGTCGTACGTGTCCCCCATTCGCTTCCACATATTCCCTTAAACGTTTTATAAAACTATAGAGAATAGGAAACGAATTATACGTTCGTCTAACTTGCAGTACGATATCTTTTATTCTATCCCAAAGTTCTTCTTCCGTATTAGGTGTTACAGAGTTGTAAACAATTCCTTTCAAATGACCACAAAAATAAAAGTCTAACGGATTAAAATCCGGACAGCGAGAAGGCCAAGGAAAGTCACTACCTCGACCAATCCAACGGTTTGGAAATTTTGGATATAAATGATCTCACCATATGGCTGCAATGAGCAGGGGACCATCATGCATGAACCACATTTGTCGTCTAGTATTAATGGGTACTTCTTCGAGAGCCCCAGGAGTTCTTGCCGAAGGAATTCCAAGGACCTACGACTGCTGACAAACGACGATTACTAATTTCGGATTTTATTCTACTCTTTCTAGAATTTGTACTTCATCTTGTACCCTTCTATGAACGCACCTTCCATTTTGTGATTTTGACCGAAAGTTTCCAGTTTCTCCTAATCTGCTGAATAAAGAAGCAAAGAATGTATGAGAAGATTGTCTGCGATTCGAATAAAGTTCTTCATATGTTCTCTTAGCGACGCATCCACTAAAATGTTCCTGTACCGCTACTGTCGCATCTATGTATTAACCTTCACGTCAAATGTAAAAAGATTGTTGTCAAAAAAAAGAAATGTTATGGTTAATTAATAACGACTTTGTCTGTAAAAAAAGGATAGTTGATATTTTGTTTTTATTGGAAAATAGTTACCAATATTGTTTTATGTATATATGTGTGCCGAAGTTTGTCACTGGAGAATAAAAGTGATATTGAAGTTTTATAGTTATTATTCCCTATTTTTACGAACCGTCTAGGCCGGGAACTACGGGTAGTGTTCTAACGGTGAGACACGACAACTACCATGTCTCTCATTTCATAATTCGTAAGTTCATTGTGACGAGGCATTTTCAGAAGTAAACTTTTGCAAAATACAAACTTGACAGTGACTTACCGAAATTGGCATGTTGTTATGGATACGTAGTTATTTCTAAAAAATATGGGGTATGTGTTAATAAATATTTTCTGTAATATCTTCATAACCGAGCATAATTTCGACTTTTGTTGCGTGTAAAAATTTAAACGTACAACGTTACAGAAGAATATTCACAAAGGGTTGTAGTAAAATGAACGCCCTGTATGGTAACGTTAGGTAACACCCTGTATATTATTCTTATAATGTAAAGAGTGCAATTATAATAAGGCAACGGTTGTGTCACTCTCTATCTGAAGAAAACTACATAAAAAAGAACCCGGTCTACAGCCAACCCTGTACCAAATTGTCGCCGTCCTAACATTTCTGATCTGTACTAATATAATAAATAACTAATGTTATTTGTATGGATTTATAAAAATGAACATTCTTATTAAACAAAAACATGTTTTCTTCATTGCGTAGCCCGCCCCGCTGATAAGAATATTTTTAAAAATCCTTGAAACAATGTTGTATATTAATAGGAGCAGCGGCCGTTTTATGCAAGATAAAACAATAAGAGGTCAAGTGACGTCAGAAAACTGACATTAATTTCACACACCTCCTGCTTAGATGAACATACATAAATATTCGCCCTTCATATTGATCAGATAATTTGAGGTGAAATCATTTAGTACAGTTGATTTCTTTACTTTTGTATTCTGAATTTCTCGTATATCCACGTTTTGATCATTTTTATTGTCTTCCTCAAAATCTATGACGTGTTAAATTATTCTCGTAGAAAAATAGAACAATTCCTCAGTTTAACATAAGAAACAAGTCAGGATTTTTTTCATTTGGACTTTTTTCTTGTTCTTTATCGTCACCTCAACCACTTGATTTTCTGGTCTTAGTATCTGCAAGATTGTGTTTTTTTAGGACTGGCTCCGCCAATTCAATTGGATATTTTTTTAAATTTTTACCTCTACAAGAAAAAGAAAATAATAATCGACTATAGTAATTGAAAAAAGCCATACGAATTAATTTTGAGCTTTGAACTTATTTTCACTAGGCCATATTTGACCTTTTTATATTATTGTTGATAATAATTTGATCCAAGACTAAAATATATAATAATTCAATATTTTCAGTGGATGTCAAAAAAAAAATTATGTTAGAGAAAATATTTTTTGGCCAAATATTAAGAACTGTGAATTATGATTTTACTTACTCTTTCAGTCTTCTCCAATTTGATCACCTCCTTCATAGTTATAGTCCTCTGTTCCACTCTAAATTCTTTCCATTCCTCGCATAGTTGTATTACAGACTGCCGGATTACTCCGGGTAGGATAAGACCATTCAAGGGAGGGGTTGTTAATACTCTTTCTGTAAAAATAGATGGTTGAGGCATTAAAATAAATATTGCTCAAAATGCTTCACTTGTTTATTTTATTGTTTAACAATAACATACTGTTGCCAGTTTTAGTGTGAAAAGTGATTTACTTTCAACACTGGTTAAAATCAAAGCAAACTTTAAAAAGTCCTACTTTTACTAGTGTTTATAGAAAGAAATTTGTATTACTATTTTGTTAGCTACCCAAATCAATATACAGAATTACAGATAATCTGTTCTGAACTTCAGTGGTGGATTCTACGATTTCTACGTCACAAATGAATTTTTCTTCAAATAAAGGATATTGAAATAAAAAATATCGCATTGATTTGAATAATTTTTAAGAAGTTTGAAGTAGATTAATGAAATTTGAACTAAATATTGAACCATTTATACGAAAAAGTTTGTTGAGTACACAGATATACCGGGTGAGGCATATATCTTGAGATAATATCTCGGTTGGACTCGATTATTTCGAAAAAAGTTTCAGACGAAAATTATAGGGCACCGAGGTCGATATTACGACTTCCGGTCTAGACCGGAAGTTGATTTTTTTATGGAAACCTATTTTTTTACCACGGATTTCGATTGAAAAACGAAAATGAGTTACTTTTTGTTCTTATTATTTTTATTTATTTAACCCATATTTTTGCGCCATAAAAAAACAAAAAAAAACAAGAATCTTGAAACAACGGAGTACCTTGTTGGGATCACGTTAAAAAAAAATTCATACAAAACTTGTAGGGTGAAAGGGGGGCTATTTTTACATGACCTTGAAAATGACCTTGACTTCAAGGTCGTTTGAATATCATATTAAAAATTTTAAATAATTTAATCAACAAAGCCTTTCCTTATTATGAAACTAATATATTTGTATCGATATTTTCTATTAACCTGACGTCAATTAATTGACGTTAAAAATTTACTTCAATTGTAGGAATTAATATTATTTTAAGTCTTTAAATTATTGTTCCTGTTAAAATACAAAATGCTTTGTACGCGGGAGCGCAAATGGCTCCATCTGTCGTGCGGACTCCCAACTGTGCCATTCAAATGGCTACAGTAGGAAGCGACCTGCTGACTGCAGGTACTTTGTTGCACGACTGCCACCCACAGAGGGCGTAACACAATGTTTGAGTAGTTTGAGTTGTCAGTGTTGCGAGAAACAACTACTCCGAGAGCTATTTGCCCCTACCGGCATTGAATTATACTCGCAACACCTATTGCAACAGCTAGGATCGTTTGTCATCAGTTTAACCCACTAGGAACAGACCAGTTTCGGACTTATTAGTCCTCATCAGTGTTATAGGTGCGACAACCGATAAACGACCCAGCTGTTCTTCGTCGTATCATCACGAAAGGAAAATACATTGTACGCGGGAGCGCAAATGGCTCCATCTGTCGTACGAACTCCCAACTGTGTCATTCATTATATGAAGGCGTAACACAATGTTTGAATTGTCAGTGTTGCGAGAAACAACTACTCCGAGAGCTATTTGCCCCTACCGGCATTGAATTATACTCGCAACACCTAGTGCAAATGCTTTGTTTAGAATATCTAATTTTTCAAAGGATTTTCATAACACATTTTTATTTTTTTAAATAATAAAATTTGTTGTAAATATTATTATTTATTAATTTATTCAAAAAAAATAAACTACTCCAAAATACTCTGTTGGTGTATACAGAGCCTGAGCCATGTGGTAAACTCGAGTCAGGTGGTCTTTCAGCAACCAATCACAGCCCGAGGAGCCAGGGCCCCATCAGCTGCTGTCATGTCTCGATAAACTATCTCTCTTATACCTGTGGCTACACACAAGAATTTTTTGTCGCATTCATTTAAAATCTTTGTTTCCTTCAGGGAGTTATTAAAAACCGTTCAATTCGTCTGGCAATTTACACTATTTTCAGTATTAATTAATAAACATGCTATACAAATTTTAGAAAGCCTAAAGTATATTTTTTGCGTATATTAATTAAATATATTCGGGGAGTCGGGTGATACTTTATATAAGTACTATTTTTTTTATTATTTCAACTTGCCTAAAATACATTCCCTAAATTCATCGTCAGCTCTTGGACTAAGAGATTCGGGAGTTGGGACACTTTTATAGGAAATATCCTCTTCTTTTAGGATCATCTTTCAAATTGACGCTAACGCTTATATTTTTCGAGTTGTTTGCAAAAAAATCAGCACCTTATTTTTTAATCTTTGTTTTTTTGTATAACTTTTGCAATTGTTTATGAGCAAATACGATTTTTATGCACATTTTTCTAGACGTCATCCCGAGTTGAATGAGCCCTCAACCATCCCTTAACTCGAATTATCATAATTTTTCACGATTTTGAAGAAGTTCTATACTGAGAAATACCGTCATGAAGAACATGAATAAGTGAATTTAATATCAATTGATATTTCAAAGGAAAAAATTTTTCTTTTTATTTTAATGGAAAGACAAGCCTTATAAAAAATCACGCAATAATAATAAATAGCGACAACAGCCTACCTCCATTATCGTCTATGTAAAAGATAAATATGTTCATTTGTCCCACTTCTGTAATCTGGTGATCAGCCCCGTACAACCACAAGACTTGCTGGCGACCTTTCGACACCGCTAGGCGTTGTACTCTGAAGGTGGGTCCGTAATTCGACCCCATCTTCTGATCGCCGCAACCCCCTGGCCAGGCCCTGATGTATCTGGGATCGGCCAGCAGAGAGATAGAGTCTTCGGTCCCTTGGAAGTAGTTGCCAACGGGGCATAGTATCGTGTAAAGGAGGGCGGAATCGGATGGACCTACTCCAAGTGCACCCTACATTCAAATAAGAGAAGAACATTTTTAAACTGGTGATACTGCGGGGAACAACTGCTCTGCGGATTAATGTCGACCATCCGATTGGGACATTAGTCCGCAGAGTAGTTGTTTCCAGGAATATCGTTAGTATGTGTGAAATAGCAGGTCGCTCTTTGTCAGTTTAGCCATTTGATGGCCTAGGTAGATATTGGGTAGCGGTGACCATTCATAGACGTAGCATTGTTACATTTGACTTGTACAACAAGAACAGTAAGCTATTATTCAGTTTAGGAAAAATATTTATTCTTATTTTGTTTGTTTTGACGAAAGAAATCAGCGCTGAAAGTTTTTAGGTCGTTGTTGCACACATAATGAATGAATCTTGCAAAATAAATCAATGTGCTTTCTAACAAATTAGCTGTTAGAAAAGGGTTAAAATAAAAATATGTATTACGCATTTTATTTTGCAATTATACTTCAAGATGAATTTAAATTTTTTGACGAAATGTAAGAGATAAGTCAAGAAAAGTACACTGCATATATATTATGGTTTATGGCAAAGTACCGATAAAAAAAATTAAATATTTGAATTTATTCGTTATCGTGATTAGAAATGTGACAATGTTGAAAGATAGTCTTACTTGTATCAACGAAATTAAGATAACTAATTGTTAAAAATAGAATTATCTTTAAATAATGTCTTTAGTTAACCTACTCTTGTAAAACTGAAAAATCAGTAACACCATTGTATAAGTTTATACAATGGTAACACTAATGCAATATTAAATTTGGATTGATGACGATAACATTACTCCAGTCGAACTAGATCATAAAACCCGAAACCTTGAAAAAATTATTGGTAGACATTTTATTGCACTTTATTTATGATGGGGAAGGGTATGTAGAATGATAATATCAAAAAAGTAACACGAAAGAAGTGACGCTAAGTTGGCAAATTGCAAATAAGTTGCAAATTTACGTATTTTTACAAGCTTTTATTTAACTTGCAATGTACGTTTTTTCGGGTGGAATCTTGCAACTCAATTTTGAAGCACATATCCTCAACCGATTGAGCTGAAATTTTGTATACACGTTCAGTTTGGATGACAATGCATGGTTAACTGTGTTACGTTATTCTAAATCCAACATGGCGGCACATGCAAGATGTCGGACTAATTATTTTTTTAATGCACTCCTACAATATGGGTATCAAATGAAAGGGCTTGCAAAGAATAACTCGAAAAATAAAGTGACGTCACTCTAAATCCAGTATGGCGGACTTCTAAAGCTTGAAACTCAATTTTAAAGCAGATATCTTCAACCGATTGAGCTAAAATTTTGTATACACATTCGGTTTGGATGACAATACATGATTAGCTGTGTGACGTTATTCTAAATCCAACATGGTGGAACGCCCAAGATGGCGGACTAATTATTTTTAATGCTTGCCTACAATGTGGGTATCAAATGAAAGGACTTACAGAAAATACGAATGCGAGTTTAAAAAAAATAAAATGCTGAACATAAATTCCGTTATTCAATCCGTCTGAAATTTTGGTGTACTGGGGTTATTGGAATCCTCGATTATGATATTGAGGTCGAATTGTTCAAGTCTGTAGGAACGGTTAGTTAACTTTGACTTGTGTAATTTGGTGAGATAGGGTGAAATCATTAGAAGGTCTCCTTATTTAAGAGCTAGACTGTTCGAAATTAACCGGCAAACGACCTTGCAATAATGATGCGTTGATTGAGATGAACAGACTGAGGAACGTGTCCAGCGATAACTAAAAAGTAAAAAATAAATTAAAAGTAAAAAAGCCTTTTTAAAAAACAAGCTTTTATTTAAATGCGCTAAGAAGAAAAAAATAAATTTAACTTTAAGAGAGACTTGCTTGTGTAGATAAACAAGTCGATTAAATAACTTGATGTGATTGATTTTAACTATAACAATTTTCAAACTAAGTAAATACGAGTACTTAAATCTCGCGACAAGCTTTTATAACATATAAATTGTGTAATGACGTTATAAGTTGATAGTAAAAGTTTTAAAGTTAAAGTTTATTTTTTTCTTTTTAGCGCATTTAAATAAAAGCTTGTTTTTGAAAAAGGTTTTTTTACTTTTAATTTATTTACTTTTATTACTGCCCATCAAAATCTAGACGACCTATCGGATAATGAATTATTTTATGTTGTAGGCAATAAAATTACCCACTATTAAAGGTATTTAAAGTCATACTTCACCAATTTGTTAATCTATATCTATACTTCTATACTAATATTATAAAGAGGAAAGACTTGTATTTTTGTATGTATGTATGTTTGTTACGAATAAACTCAAAAACTACTGGACGGATTTTGATAATTCTTTCACCATTAGAATGCTACATTATCCCTGAGTAACATAAGCTATATTTTTTATATCCCAAAATGTTTAAAATAAATGTCTACCCGTGCGAAGCCGGGACGGGCCGCTAGTTGTAAAATAAAGGTTGAACGCGGAAAAATCAGTTTTCGAAAATTACGCATTATTATTGCAAAAAGCGATGGATGTTGATGAAATTTATAGAAAAGACGGTCAATGCAACGACCAACATGTGTGCCAAAGGTCGATTCGATTGACGTTGATGAAATTGTTGCTCCAGGTATTTATTAATTGATTTCGTTCATTTCTTTGCAACTAATCGTTTAATTACTAAGCTTTAATTTAGAAGTTAATATCGTAGATGTAGATTCCGAATTGATCCGAAGAAACGTATCGAAAAAGAAAAATTTCAAAAAGTTGAAATTAAGTAGCCCAACAAAGTAGGACCTGCAAAACAGCGTTATAAACAAATTCTCTCAGGGTCAGGCAAAAGCCGTTCGGGAATCGGCCTTTGGTACATTGGATGTACTTTGGTCATTGAATTGACCGTCTATTCCATAAAATTCATCAACATTCATCGCTTTTTGCAATAACAATGCACAATTTTCGAAAACTGATATTTCCGCGTTCAATTTTTATTTTACAGTTAACAAATTGGTGAAATAGATACCTTAAATTGTAGGGAATTTAATTGCCCACAACATAAAATGAATAATTTTCTGATAGGCCGTCTAGATTTTCGTGGGCAGTAAAAAAAGTGAAAAAAAACGTAAATTTGCCATTTATTTGCAATTTGTTACTTCTTTCGAGTTACTTTTTTGATATTATTATTCTACATACCCTTCCCAGTCATAAAGTGCAATAAAATGTCTACTAATAATCTTTTCAAGTTCAAACTCTAATTCGATTGGAGTAATTAAAAGTACACAATTTTCGATCATTTACTCAAGAACCAAGGAGAATATGAATTTCAAAATTAACATATCCAACAGAAAAAGTCTTCACATAAATGAAAACCACAGTAAAACCAGAAATACATGAAACATTCCTTATACTTAATTATTTTAGAGGTCAATTTTGTGGAAGAAAATGTCTCATTTGCCTTAGATAAGTACATATTGTTTATTTAATTAGTTCTCACAGTTAACGAAGTCTTAGACAAATGCAAGCTCTATACGGTTTTCGAGAGCATGAAAAATGAAATTGGTAGTTCATTTTTGAATGTAAATAAATACGCCACTAAAAAAAGATGTGTCAAATAAAACTTTGTCCTTTTTACAGGGATATATTTTTAATTTTTAATGATCCGTAATTTAAACCTGCTATACCAATGTTTCATTGTATCATTATTTTAAGAACACTGTTTAAATAATATTATGTGTTATTTATCTTTAAGTATAATCACAGACAATATAGTTTTTCGCCACAGACTGCTTCTTAAATGCTGGAAATTGGCAACCCGAAATGGATGCAGGCTTTTGTTAGCCGGCATCCATCAATGAAATTTACCGTGGTAACTCTTCTACTTGGTAATAGGCGGCAGTTCCAGCGGTGGCTTTGTTGCCAAATAATAACTGCTAAATAAATTTAATGCTTTCAATTATGTAATTAAAGAGATATGGAACTTTTCTTCTATTTGGAAATCACATTTGCCTTAAATGCTAAATAAAATAAATCAAGTTAGAATTAAAACTATATGAATTTACTTAATTAATTATTTATTGTATGTCACCTTGCAATGGAAGAATTCAAAAACTTGAAATTAATGTTTTTAAATTTGTGCGTCGATTTCCAATTTGATACAATATTAACACCTACGTTTAAAAAAAATGCATTATACAGGTTGTGTATCCTTAGATGGGTACTGCTCTCTTATTGTTGATTTCTTTAGATAGGTAAAATAATTATTGACACAAGTGTTGCATATCATGGATGCCATTGGTAGTGCTCATATTTGTGACACAAGGTGTTCAAAAAAATTAACACAATGTAAAATTGCGGGAACCTCAAGGAGTAGTTGAATACGAAATTTATTAAAAAAAAAAACAACTAATCATCAATCAATACAGAGATAAGATAATGTGTTCGCTACTGCTGTTGCAATTTTTGACTAACTTTTTTGTTTTTCGACATACTGATTTCGCACCTTTTCCATTCAACGCAGGACGGACAATCAGAACCAGAGGAGTGGGGAGATTTTTTTAATTATTTTTTCGATTCAACGCACCGTTTCCGAATTATAAGACCTTTTTTACTGTATCACCTCGCATACCTCTTCTTTCCGAAATGTATTTTCCCCATACCTACGGACTTCGAACCTTTTCCATTCAACGCAGAAAGGACAATCAGAACCACGGGTGTGAGGAGATTTTTTTAATTATTATTTCGATTCAACGGCCTTTCACTCTATGACGTCACACACCTCTTGTTTTCAAAATTTATTTTCGACATAAGGGCTTCGGACCTTTTGCATTCAACGCAGAACTGACATACAGAACTGGGGGTGTAGGGAGATTTTTTCAATTATTTTTTCGATTCAACGCACCGTTTCCGAGTTATAAACACTTTTTTATCCTATGATGTCACACACCGTTGGTCCCGATTTTTATTTTTTTTTTTGACTGCGGGTTTTGACGTTTTTCACTCGATCACCAAT